ATTTTTGAAGTGACCAACAACCGTCCCAAAAAGCGTCAAAACATCACACAAAAACCGACAAAATAAACCACCAAAACAACGTCGATCGCGGAAGCCGGGCTTTCTCCACTCGTAGTGATATTAACTTGACGTCACCCGCAGCGGAAAATTGGCCAAAACTGAAGCAAAAGTGCGAAATTCCAATGGATCAAGCGTACGTACCTCAATCGCCACCTTGCCAAAGTCGAACTTGTCTCTAAACAGACGCAAAAACTGAAAGACGTAGGCCAGCTCCCACATGCATCTTAACGACTCAATGGGCTTCGTTTCTGGTAAGAAAGTGAAAATATCGCTTTAGCATGATCCTATGGTGGCCTGTTTATAAATATTTAATCTGATCGGCGAGGAGCAGCGGCGTAGTGTACCCATTAAAATAGGCTACTGCGGTCGGCTCGGATGCCCGTTTGAACTCCATGTTTTATGCAGGAACCGTATGCACATGTAACGCATAAACACAAGCGGGTGCCCGGTCACAGAACTTATCTAACTTCCACACGATCGCGTCCAAAGTAATGAAACCCACACCGAAGTATAGTGAAGAAAACCAAGATTCGTTTTTTACCTGTGTTTTGTTTCTTGCGTGGCATCTTGGGGATGTTTGTTTGGGTCAAATATCCCTATCCCTCTACTGTTGGCGCCATTCCTCTACATACATTCACACACAAGGTCAGTCGAGCAGGTCACGTGACAAGGCGCTATGTAATTGATTGGCGAATTGCCGACGATTTAAGCTTTAATTTGTTGGTTATTTCTACAAACGACAAAATGTGCTCGTTCGGTCGTCTTTGGGGACCCAGTTGTAACTACTCCATGGCTCAATTTTGGCGTATTCCAACAAAATGTGACGGTTTTACTACAAGTGTCGGCACCTTTGGTATACAAATGAGCTAGCTTTTGTTCTCTGAAGTGACGCGCTATACTGACTCCACGGCCGAAGCCTACACATCCCAATCGCGCTTTCCAACGCATTCTTGGAATATTTTTTTCCGTGATTTTTTTCGACGCTGATGTAACGATGTCGTAAAATTACAAACATCACATTTGTTTCTTTTGTTGTTGACAGAAAATAAGAAAGAACTTAAAGTTGTCGTTTAAACTTTACGAGTGGTGTTACAACAAGGAGAATATTGTGTAAAGGAGTGAAATAACCACCAATTAATTGACGAAACTGTTGTGCCACCCTCATAACGCTTTGTTGAAAAGAAAAGAAATGGATAATAGGAATGAATTGAAAAGCTTCGCATTTGACTTTTTTTAGTTCTTTCTTTTACGTGTGATCGATACCCCGGCGAAGTTGAGTGCCTAGTCGACGGGAGACCCTGCTCCTATTTAACCCTGATTTTTTTTTCGCAAAAGTCTCCGTCTTTCATAGTGAACTTGCAGTTTCACAGACCACCTTTCTTGAATTGCTCGGTGCAGAATGGTATCGTCAAAACAATTGCGTTCAGCAAATCTTACACCAATTAAATTCTACAAGAACTTGTTGTTATTTATCCACCATCTGGGAATTTTGTAATTATTATTATTATTGACAAACTCAACTATACTCAAATAAATAGATTGTATCATTCTGATGTACGTTGTATCACCAGCTCGCGAGACACATTTGTGACACAGCTACTCACCCCTCTTTTAAAATGGTTGCGATCCACGTGATCAGATGACATCACGCTTCTTTGCTTCCCATGAGTCAAAGGGTGTATGTTTTGGCTGTTACGAGATTCAGCACTCACCCTTGTTATCTAAAAACAAAACTTGCCATTGACAGCTTATTTAGTATGCAGTATTTCTGATTATAAGTTATAATAATATTCTATTTTGTAACTTTATATTGATGCAATGTAATTAACAAAATTAATTAATTCTTCCATTTCCAATGATTAATATTTTTATCAGTAGGGACGACAGATGACATACGGCACGGCAGTGAAACATTCGACATCGTCATAATATTGCTTCTATTTCCTATTTCGTTTAGGGGGTTTTCCTTCCAGTAATTTATTTTGTCGTCGATTTTTGTCGAAGTATTAACGTGGATTTGGTAGAAGGATTTACAGTCTAAGCAGAAATGCCGACCAAAACGTTTAAGGATCGCAGGAGTTTTGGTAAACAGTCTGTTTTTCTAGAGTTGTTTGATGATAAAATGCCTGCATTTGTTTGTTTATATTGTTTTATTTATGACATTGTCGCCATTGTTATGAAGTATGAATATTTGAAAGTTTGTTTCAATTAATTTGTCTTCTTTATTTAGCCCAGCGAACGAAAGATGTACAGGAAATACGTGACCAACATCCGAATAAAATACCCGTGAGTATACGTATAGTTTGTTGACAGCTGATAATTCCTAACCCTAAAATGTTTCAGAATAAGAATATATTTCGCAATGATGTGCGCCATAACATTGTGGGACACTGTTCTCTATGTTATTTCATGGAGTTATTTACACTAATAATTCATAACTTTTTTTTCGCCATTGACAATTTAATCAGTTTTAGTACACTGAAATTAGCAATGACTTTTTTTTTGTATTTAAAACATTTTTTATTGAGTCAATTTACATAAGCACTTTACGTAGTTACATGTATGTGTACCAAAAAAAATTACATTGCACAACAAAGTACAAAGTCTTCACAAAAATATTACAATTTTTTCAGGAATTCATGCTGATATGCTGGGTCGTTGCTAATTAGCAATGACTTACTTATAAAGTGTTTATACTCAACTAATTTTATTAGTACACACCTCCAATTATATACATTGTATGGCTTTGTCATATTATTTAAAAAATACAATTTTCTAAAAGATAAATATGTAACTGTGGTCTGGGAGAACCTTGCTGCTGTTTAATCAATTTTTCAGAGATTTTCTAATTTGTATTTCTTTCTATGTTGAATTTCAGTGTATTTTAATTTTAGTGTTTCAGTGTGTCTTATTTTATTTGTCTTTTGTAATCATTTTTTTACCTTACTAAACCCACAGATGGTTAAGTTGTGTAATAAAGTTGTTATTATTATTATTATTATTATTATTATTATTATTATTATAGCGCATTTTAACTGTATGACCTCATACAATGGCATCTGCTGGTTGAGTTTTAATTTATAATGTACTGTACATCGTTTTTTTAATTTTATGCAGCTAGGATTTTTCGCAATTTCGGCATTTTATGACTTTTGTGGAGTCAAAATTTCGCACTGACACTCTATGTCATAGACCCCCAGAAAAATTCTCACTGGTAAAAAAATTTCATGATTTGTTGCTCGTAAAAATGAATGCAGTTTACAGTACATGCCTTTGCCAACTTCAGTGTAATGTTGGAATGGTGTACTAAGGATATATCCACTGGGAGTCTAGTAAATGTTAGTAATGGTAGTAGAATGGCGTACCGAAGATAGATCTATGAGGGATGGGGAACTAGAGATGTATACGCAAGGAGCCCAGTAAACATGGGGTGATAGTAATAAGATGTGTACTAGAGGTAGATCCACAGGTAGTCGAACAAACATGGGTGATGGTAGTATTCACAAGATTTTAACCAAGGTTGCAATTTTATGTCATGGCTAGTCCTTGATGTCATGGCTTTGTTGTTATATATCAAGTGCAGTGATAACAGGGTACAGACTTCTATTTATTTTTTTGTCAAAGGTTATAATAGAACGTTATGAGAGTGAGAAGCATTTGCCCATGCTGGATAAAACCAAATTCCTCGTTCCAGACCATGTTAACATGAGTGAACTCGTTAAAATTATCAGGTAAGTATTTCTTTTCACTATGATGTATATTTTCAACATTATACAACAGATGACCTTCATTTTGCGATTTCTGACATTTGTATCAGTTTTTCACTCTCCCAAATAATACAAGTTCCTGTAAAAGTTGCAGTGTTCTTCTTACCTTGGTTGAAAATATTGTAATGTTTGGCCTCAAAATTTTAGAGGGAGTTTCTGCTTTCTCCAAATTCATAAATGACTTTGAAGGCAAAAAAAAATTTATCAGTTTCTGGTCTAAAGTTTAAAAAAAAATAACAGTTCAGTGATGTGTTTTTTTTAATCCTTTTTTGAACATAGTCAAAAATGGGGATTTATAACATCATATCATACTTATGCACATAATTTTTACTGCAATTTTTGGGGAAGCCAATTTGCAAATTCACTAGCAAATTGGGTTTTGACTAAACAGCTTTCGAATCTTGATGGGGCCGACTTGTGGCCATATCCACTCTGGAAAAGTCTACCGAGTGATGTGAGGTGTGATATCATGAGATGTGATAATGTAATTCACAATTACTAAATTGGTGGCCAAGTATTGGTGGTATATTTGAAGGCGAAATGTCAAAACCCAAGCAGTTAGCCAATTCGCTAGCGAGTTTGCAAATTGGCTGCCACAATATTTCTGAGACTTGCTGTAATGCTAAAAATTCATCAAAATCATTTCCAGAACCAGATCTCAGTCATGCATGGACATATTTCATTCAAACTTGGTTAATAAAGGGCGGTGGTTGTCGTCCAGCATGTGTTTGAATTTCATGTTAACAAACAATACATTTTGCACGTGTTGTGAGCTATGAGTCCTATATCAAAAAGGACGCAGCGCGACAACCACCGCCATTTAAACATAATGGTTTCTTGATGCACATCATTTTTTTTCCAAGATTTGATACAAAATGGCTGACTTATGGTCAGACGAATGTATTTGGATCCATATTGCCAACATGGCTGGACTGATCATGTTCAAACTTTACACTTATATCATGTAACACATATGCACATGCATCTGTTTCAGAATCATCATTTTCATGCCATAGTGCATTATGACTGTCATGAGCAGAATAAAATAAGGAATCATACAAATAAACTGGCTCCATCTTTTATCATATCTGTCACATGAGTGTAAATAATTATTTCATGCTAATGTTAAGTCACTAAAAACTGGACGGGGAATTGTCCTTGACAATGACTTGTTTTATTTGTCTAAGTTGCCAGCGTTTTAGCTTCCTGACTAAAGAGAGTGCTCATCATAGAGCCAATATTTCCATGATCTTAGGATACAATGTCTTAAACTTAACGATATATTTCCGATTATCAACAGGAGAAGATTACAGCTAAACCCTAACCAAGCATTCTTCTTATTGGTTAACGAGAAAAGCATGGTCAGTAACTCAACTCCAATTTCTGAAGTCTACCAGCGAGAAAAAGATGAAGATGGATTTCTTTACATGGTGTACGCATCACAGGAAACATTTGGAGCCAACAACTAACTTAGCCATTGTTTCTAGTAACTGACAATTTAATGATTGACTTTGAGGATACCAGATGCCATTTCCGCATCATCTAATCCTAAGTCTGGGCAGAATATAGAGGAGCTGCCTAAAAATAATTTACAGCAATTAAAATAATCAACATTATTTCAATTGTGAGAAAGGGTTTGTCCTGTCACCAAAGTTTGATTCAAGCATAGCTGGAATATATAATGTTATCGCTATTATATTACACGGATGATTTTTAACATGTTGCGGGAAACAAAATACATTACAGAGTAAGACTTGCAAATTTATGTCTAAATTTCAATATTGGATAGGTAGTGGTTATTTATCCTGCATGCGGCAGAAACAGTTCATGTATGGAGAATGCAAAATTAAAGTTAAAGTTGCATTAATACAAAATGTACTTCATAAATCTGTGATGTACCCCAAATCCCCTTGAACAATATACACCATAAAATGTAGAAATTATGGATGGGTAATGAGAAATTAGCTTACAGAATACAAATCTAGGTGGGCCCCTTAGTAGTGTGCCCCCCCCCCCCTCCAAAAAAAAAAAAACTTTTTGTATGGATCCTGGGACAAAATGGAATCCCTAAAATCAAGTTGATTCTGCTTGTTGACTGCTTGGAAGGTTTGTCTTCAAGAAAAAATAAAATTGTATGTGACAGTTTAGGAGATTTGAAATACAAACAAAATATTGTGGCCCTTGATTTCCTTAGTATTTATACTTATTTTGTATATGTGAATTTCATTTCACCAAATTCAAATTTCAGAACTATTTTAAAAATGCTTTTCAAGATTACTATATAAATTTTCTGTCATGTCAATGAGACACGCCCATGAATTACCATAACTAGTTGTGGCACATCAAGTCTTTGTGCTTCATTGGCGCCTCAAATTAGCTAAGAAGGCTCATTGCCTCTTAGATCTGTGAATGATAGACACTGACAAAAGTCAGTTACATTGTATCTTTGTCTAAGATAAGAACCTCTAGTACTCTCAAAATGCCTCTATTAGAAGTGCACCTTCCATGGAATCGCATATAAACCAACAAATGTTGTATTTGAAATCATTAAAATATTACTTATAGAAACACCACTGTAATTTACGTAAGGACACGCTCTATTAATATATCATATACGGTATTTGGGAATATTAAGGCATGATAACTACTTTTATTATAATTTCATAATTTTTAGTAAAAACAACATAATTTTTTACAGATTTTTTTGTTTTTAGCTTGCCATGGGAGTGATGTTTCACATATTTGCAAAGTATGAATGCAACTTTAATAGCTACCAGGACTTAAATAGAAATTGGTAATAGATGCGGGGCATTTTTCTTGTCCATGCATTTCTGCCATAACGAGTCTAATTTGTTATTGCTCATTGCTAGAAAGTGAAATTTGATCCCAACAAGAAAAGGTCTATATGACTTAATTATTTCTAAAGTAGTATATTTAAATATGGAGCTAGTTTGTGGTTTTACAGTAGATGTGTTAATTTTCACTGGGTTTTATTTTCGCTGATCAGTCAAATCTTCTAAATTATATCTACATGAGCAATAATATTACCATAAATACCGGGTAGAACACGTGACAATGAATAACAACAAATTGGTTCAATTAAAAACCAGTGAAATTAATGCTGTTATAGTATTTTCTTAAATTTAACTTATAGAGTTTAATGATGGAGTGGATTTCTTTTTTCAATCAAATATTTAGTGGGGCGCTTTGGAATAAAAAAATCAAACGTGTGGTTAGCACAGCAGGAGTGCTCTTAAGCAATTGTGTCGGGAACATGCGCAGATGAAAATTACTATAATTTCTCAACATTTAAAGAATGGGTGTCTTGTTAAAATGACCTTTACAGATGCAGTGGATATTGATGGTTCCCACGCAACTTTGTTTGTGTATTATACCCAGGAACTGCCCACTTATCATCTGATAACTGGACAGCACGTGGTACGTACCAATGAGAGCATACTGTTGTGGTGCATGGTATTGTAATTTGATGTACTGTACCATGAGCTACTGCATCACAGTATTTAGGCATCGCATGTTTAAATGTAAACAATGTATTTTACATGCATTGTACATGGGACCCATGTCGATGGCTCATTAACCAGCTTGTAAAACAGATTATGTATTGTAAATATATACAGTATTTTTTACCGATATTTTTTAAAATTTAGTCTTAACACATTGCTACTGCCAATATAAAGCTCATTGTTGGTCGTAATGTCAAATTCTCTGTGCATGTTTTTTGACTTTATGACTAATGCTACAGTGGAAATATTATGCTACTATATATTATAGGGTTTAGATGGTTAGTCTAATTCAATTATTCGTATTATATATGGTGTACATATCATGTTAATCCACTTTGAAATGTCATTTGTCAATGATGTCATACATAAGTATTGCTTTCAAGTACAACCCCCCAAAAAATAAGTAACAAGTAATACAGAAGCTCACTGCAGACACAGTTAATTTCTGTATATTTGAAATATTCTTTATCTTGTTCAGTGTTTTGAAAAACAGGTTGTTAATTCCATCAAAATTTAATTTGTTTTGAATTTGTGTATAGATTCCATAGCTGATAAACATGTCAACAATGAACTGTCACAACAAGCTGTATTGTTATCTTTCATATGGCCAACAGATTTTGAAAATACAGAACTTCTTTTATGAAAGACATCGGAAACAAACATGTATTTGTAAATGTCTTATGCAAGTATCATACCTGTTAGTTGTATTATTTGAAAGTCTTACAGAAATATACATATAGCTGTGTTTTGACTAATTTTTTAATCCATGTAACAATAAGGCAAAATTACTTGTGTGTTCCTGAATGATTTATGCATGGTAATATGTCGTGTAACATATCGTATATATATATATATGATAATATATACTGTAAAACATGTCTTTTTCGCAAATTTAGCGAGAGAACTGATTTGCTAATTCAAGATATCGCTAATGACTTTATTATCAATTCAAAATGGTCGCCAAACAAAAAAATCAACAATGACAAGAGAGATTCGCTAAATCAACATTTCGCTATTACGTCATTTTACCACAATTCGTTAAAATTGCATGCCGCTTTTTCAACATGTTTTACAGTATGCAGTAATGTACATTATCGGTCAACCAACAATGCATTTTCCAGCTGTACAGATGTCGTTTGCATATACGTATCATGACATGTCTTACCCATGTTTTTTTTTGGCATAGTTTTACATGGGTTGAAAAATACGGAAAAATTTGACAAATCACACTGCTCATGTCCTTTTAACATTTAGTATTTCTAAGCATGCATGTACCGGTATGAAAAAGGCATAAGCTAATTCTTCACCTTTCCATTGTCAACAAATGTCTTAATTCTTTGGTTTCCAACAAAATTGTTGACTATAAGCAATACCATGTTCTGTCTCTTTGGATCACATTCTGAAATCACAGAAAATGGGTAAAATGTGTGGTTCATTATTGCTTTCTATGTGCTAATTGTAGTAAACATGAACTTTGTACTCCTGCAACCTTTAAGTTACTTTCTGAGAAGGTTTTTTTTTTTTAAGAATTTATGTGACTGATGTATTTGATGATTTGAGGTATATCCTCAACATTCAAATTTCAATGATATTTAGCACAGCTTTCTTGACATTCGATTTAAATTTCATTTGTTAACACTTTTGAATCTTTTTTTCTGATGTTGCACAAAAAGTACATCCACAAAGTTGGAATGACAAGGCTGGGTAAATACATCTTAATAATCATTTTTGGGACAGATCAAATATTTACAAAAACTAATCATTTACTTATTCTACTTGTTAGTCGTATCACCCCTGTTTTGTTAATGGAATAGTCCATCTTTCTGGTAGAGGATTTTACCAAATTGTAAGGTAAATTTGTAAGGAACTTTATTTCGTTGTATATTTAAATCATGAAAAAAAAATGTTTGCTTTTCATCTTCTGGGAAAATTAAAGATTTATATGGATCAAAAAAACATTCTCTGGAGCAGGAAAATTCTTCTTTCACACTTTATACAGATACGAAAATGTGCAAGGCTTGGTTTTCAGCAAGGTTTCAAACTGATTACCTTATTTTAGGGGCCTTACATATCATGTTTGTCGCATTTCTGGACTTATTAACATTCCTTTTTGCAGGGTCCATGTCAGAGATAACTGGTATTATTTGTAGCCCCTGAATGTGCATAGATGTACGACTGTTATTTCCTGCATTTATACCAATTTGCATGTAAATAAATATAATACCCGGTACTTGTATTACAAATTCTGTTGTCTTCATTGTTAGTCTCCCCAGCCAAAGTTTGCTAATGCAAGCATCATATTCGTGTGAGAAGTACAATGTATGTTCACGAAACTTGATGACTGCAGAGATTTTTTTCACAATACGACTAAAGATAGCCATGTTGATTGTAAAAACACGGAATTCACACATATTCAACTAACGGTTTCTCATGCATGCACTGAGCAATGACAGCATGTAATGGCCTACTAATATTCATCAGTTTCATGACAATGCATGCAATTAGTCTTGGAACCATGAAAAACTGGAGAAAATGCTGCCATCACTATTGAAGTCAAAATGAATTGTTTTACCCGTCCCTTTGAACGGCAGAATCAACTTTTGTAATCATCACCAAAACAAAAAAATCTGCATAATATTCAAAAATATTTATCAATCCCTTATATACAGTAGTCTATTTGGAAAAGAAATACATAATTGAAAAAAAATGAGAATATTCATAAAGCGTTATTACATAATTTATTTCATAAAAATATCAACATTCCTGGTTTTATTACAATGTATATATCAAGTCATAAACACTTTGTTTTTTATCAGCAATAGTTGGCTATAAACACCTTACTTTTTACCAGGCCTATACTAGCTATACACTGCCCGTATACTAGGCCAATGCTTGCTATGAACACCACATATTTACCAGGTCTATGCTGGGTATATAAACCTTACTTTCAAGTATGTGGACTGAATTCTCTACTATAAGTCCATCTACATGGCAGTCCCACTGAAAAATTACAGCAGCAGTATTCATTCTGCACGATGTTCTGAAATTTTACCTTACAACTACATGTAATAAAAGAAAAAAAAACAACCTTTTACTTTTGTGGGAGTTTTTAACATGCAAAATGCATGACCATACACACTGCAAACCACTTTGTTTTCGTAAGGAACAAAGGTTATGCGAATTTTGTGTAAAATCTGTAAAATTGTAGCAGTGAATAAGTGTCGGTGATTTTCGCAGTTTTATCTGCACGAATGCTTAAAACCGCAAACGTTTCTAGAAGCAACAATTAAGTGCTTTACACAGTATACTGCATTATGCCACTGCAACCATATTCTATGATTAAGTGACAACTAGTATATGGTAATTTATATGCTTGATAAGAAAGTAAATTATTGACTTAAAAAGCAAATAACCAATTTGATAGCTCTTGCGCCTACAAAGTGATGGACGGTGCCTCATTTACAATTCAAAGTGAGCAAGTCAATTTGAATTCTTAAGTTGGACATTTGAAGATAATGATTTGGTTCTTAAATTTTTTGTTTTCAATAATTAAAAATATTTCATTCTATAGCTACAAAAATATCATACAATATCACCATAGTACATCTAAAACATGGTATACATCTATTTCACTGTTTGAAAGCTATAAATCATCGCAATGGAGCTGGCAGAATAAGGATTAAAGCTCATATGTCTGATGACTTGATCGCAATAATAAACGCTGTATATTGATGTTTCTAGTTTGTGTAATTTGACCTTTCATGAATAAAGTATTATTATTATAAAATAACAAAATTTACTCTTGTAATTGTAGTATAAAATCACTGCTAACATGTTCATACACAGACCCTAATATATCAAATTTCGTCACAGCGCTATGTCATTACGTAAAAGACTAAAAACGATTTGACCAGAACTCGATGGAAGCCGTTAATATGAAATGAACTTATCTCTATACATTTTGTAGATTGTGGTTCATTATTATAAATATACACGTCGTAACAAATTGATAATTTTAATATTTTCACAGAATCAACAAGTAAAAAATTAAACTTTTGATAGATCATTATTTTGGCATGGTCCCAAAAACTAACATCTATTAAAAGTTTTATTTATGCAAGCACACAGGCTGCAAAATGTTGATAAAAACATTGTACTGGATTAAAAATACAACAGAGATACTGAGCCCCTTCTGAACTGTTGAATTAATATCTGGTGTCTTATTAAAAGTCAGTTCCAACGAGAGTCATTCAAGGAGTGTTGCTGTAGAGGCGTTCTAGGTGCATTAAGACAGACGAGTTATTGTGGGGGAATTACAGCACGTGCAAGTACACAAGGTGTTACACCATGCAAGTTATTCAGGTGTAGTATTAGTGAGTTATCTAAGATTGGTTACTCCAGGTGAGTAACCCGGTGCATCACTCCATATGAATTATCCCAGATGAGTTATCTCAGGCGAGTTACAACAAGTGATACCACCAAGGTTTGTTATTCTGGATAAGTTACTAGGAATATGGTTCATTTTCCCAGGTTAATCACCCCAGAAGAGTTAATCAAAGTAAGTTTTTAGATGCATTACCCCAAGCAAGTTATTCTGATCAGTTACCCCAAGTGAGTTATTTAGAGATGTGCATTAACCCCAAGTGAGTTATTCAGGTGAATTACTCAAAGTGAGTTATTTAGATGCATTACCCCAAGTGAGTTATTTGGGCGAGTTATTCCAAAGTTACTCCATGCGATTGATGGGGGAGGGCATCCCACATTTCCTTGGTCTGTTTCTGTGCCATTTTGTCATCACTGTAGTCCAAAGCATCAGCATGCCACATTCCAACACCAAGCAACTTTTTACTCTCGGCATAGTCATATCGCAGTTTTAAGCTTTGTGGATCATCATACCATACTTGATACACTTGTTTTGAATCCTGCGTGATGTAAGACAAATTTATAACTTTATTGATTAATTTATACAATAAATACAAATAAACAACTACAATTTTCATACTGAGCTGGGTGTTAGTTTTCGCTACTTGTTCACAATATGAATGAATCTGCCGATAAATTTAAACACTGCCCCCAGTGCTGCAAGAGCAAGGTCTATCACACAATTTTCTTTCATGGTCTTTGTTCATAGCTTGAACTCTATGCTAAATGGTTCAACATACCCACAATGATTGTATGGAAAAGCATGAATGCTCACATATACGTCAATGAATCAACAATTTTGTGTCAACGTTTTCGTGAACCCTTCTCTAAATGGTTCAACATACCCACACTGATTGTATGGAAAAGCATGAACCACTACCCGTGAAGCATGTTGTGAAAACAACTTCTACTTAGATTCTTTCAAAAAAAATGATAATAATATATTATTTAGGTGGAGTTTAAATTGACGGCAACCTTTATGTACAATATACTCTGAGTTTGTCATTTCACTTCAATGTATAAAATCAGAAAGCCAATAACATTTTTCAGGACTAGTTGGCATGGCTAAAACTCAGATAATCTCTTTAATTTAATCAAATACATTTATTACCATTTCAATAAAAGTTTTTTTCATGGCAAGACGATGTATAATAATAATATGATTTTGAAGGCATTTCATTTACATGCAACTTCAACTGTTGAGCAGAGGAGCCCATGACTTGACACCCTACCTTGGAGATGTCTAGCTATTGACAAAAAACTTTTGATGTGAATATCTTGCAAATACTGGTATTATATCATGCGTATTACTTGAACTTTAACAAGCAACGCTACAAGCAAGTTTTGTCTAAGACAGTGTTGTATAATGCCGTTACCTTGTAGTTGAAGTATGGGGCTTTGTACTCATCGTTCCATTTTCTGCCGGTTGTCGAATTTTGAATCAGTCTGTTGATTTCAGAATAATCTTTTTGTTTTCCTGCTGCATCACTACAATTTGCTCCTCGGAATGGAACTTTAGGAATATAACACACATCATGCTGTTAAAACAAATTTAGCTAGTTAGTACCAAATAACAATATTTATTTTGTTCACAATCTCTATCATAATAATATACGCTTTTTAAATCAAAATAAGTTTGCCGTAGTGGGCGCGATACACCTGGACACTGATTCTACGAATCCTTATTTTTATTTCCTAGTTTTTTTCATACGGTAATTAAATCATGGAATGAGACTAAATGTCAATCTCCACAAAATACTATTCTCTTTTTACTTTAGTGGTTTGGTCCGGACAAATGACTGATAATAATAATAATAATAATAATAATAATAATAATAAAAGATAATAAGTTTTGTTCAACCAATTTTTATTTTGAGTTAACTAAATCAAATGTGCCACCATGATAAACGCTTAGTCAGCGACAATGCAAAGTGACGCCCTCTATCAGTGTCGAATGCAAAGTTGTAGGCCATGTCAGTGTGTTTTCAGCAGCGGTTTTTCTTACTTTTATCACATCCTTAATTTGATATTTCATAGTTTATCATGTTTTGGGATCGAACACAATGCCGAATGAACACAGCAGCTGGTGCATGATGACGTCAGAAATGTATCTACTTAAATACTGCTTGTTTCAAAATTCAGAATATTTCTCACATTGGCCCCTTGGGGGCAGTATACATATTCAGTTGCCTACCTCAGTGACATTTAGACAAGGGTAATTGTAACCATACCACGGCACTCCTAAAACCAGCTTATTTGCAGGAATTCCCATTTCCAGGTATTTTTCCACACCTTCAAATGTAAGTGAATATAAAACACTTTAAATTGCTATATTTTCACCCAAAAAATCAATTTAAATGAATTTTGCAGAACAAAAAAATATTTGTTGCTATCAACATTTACATCATTACTATCTTTGGAACAGTGAATCAATTTTGACTATGATAAAAAATTTTATCTTTCAATATTAAATAGTTACTATATATTATGAAAAAGGTTAAAATGATTATGAATTGTGTATTTTCTTCAAAAAACTGTAAACCACTTTAATATGTGGCAAAGATGATGTCTTAAAAATAGTACTGCAACTTTTGCAAAAGTTCTGTCATCACAAACTCCATAAAATCATAAAAATTCCAAACACTGAAAATGAAATATTAGTATATGCAAATTAGGGTAATTAATATGCACACATTGGGGTAAATAAAAAAAACACTTCTCACTTTATCACACAGTATTTGAGTATTTGAAATCAAGTGTTTGATTCTGATTGGTGAGAAAAAATACAGGCAAAACATACTAATGAAAACATTAGTATAATACTTCCTTTTTTTTTTATAAATTTAAATTACCTTTTACGGTTTTATTGTAAGGTGAATTCGCCATTCCGATACAAGGACCAAAAATTTGACTTTGTTCATCATATGACATCACAAATACAAAGTCCACTGCATCAGCAATGGCCTTGTAGTTATAGCAACGCCCATCAATACAATCTGGTGACCAGGCAACATCATAAGTAACCTTTAAATAGAGGAACATTTTTAAAAAATCATTAATTTTTTCATAAAAATGTATTAACACTTTGAATATTTTTATGTATTTTTTTCACAAATTGTTCTGGAGATTTTGGATAAAATGGAGAATATTTGCCACTAGCTAAATTCTTGACAAAATTGTCTTTTTTAAAATATGGAAAAACTTCATAAAAAATGTTTATTTTGTAAAAGGTAAAAACGGTGCATTGTGTCAGTTGATACAGACCCCAACAACATAAACTGTGTAAAATGCATTGTTTACTTAATATACAAAATTGGAACACCTTTTAGTCTTTTAACCTTTTATTAACAAACCAGGCTCTGAGGAGACAGCTAGGATGATCTCTTATTGTATGGACGACAACTCGCATTATTATTTCGTCCTCATTTTGTCGAGTCGAGCGTGTATTTATAGCTTGAACAGGAAATCAATGAACCCGATATTTACACACATGCATATGTATCCTAAGATGTTTGATGTACGTGTGTAGTTTGAACGTGATTGGTTCAATCATGTTTGAGATACAGGTGAGGATGACTTATGTATGGACAGACAAATCAACAACATTTATACATCAAAAGCCCAACCAGATGAGTGTAATCGCTAGTGTACATACTCATGCCCCCGTAGAAATGTATTTGGTATCACAGCTTGGCTTCCACCACGATGTGATTTGGGTTAGCATACTAATTGCGGTGGCTATCTTGCCCCTATTTATAGTATCAGTTCATGTTTAATGCATGAATACGTCTATGTTTTCGGTCGAAACATGACGCAACAAGTGAAAATCCTGAGTTTAAAATGGTGGATAATGTATGCAAAATGCCTGTCAATCACAGTTTGAGTAAGCGAGCATAATAAACATTCAGTTACTTAGTGGACAGAGGTGGAGTTAATTACCCATGAGCACGTAGTGCAACTCATGAGATTGAGCGGTTCCCCTTCAATTGATTATCAGAAAACAAAACGAGGGGATTTTTTTGGAGGGGGGAGAATCATTCATGCCACAATACAGATTGCAAAATAAAATACTGCATTTAATGTAAATAGAAGTGCAACTCTAATATAAGTACATGTGTTATATTTATTGTTATCGGTATGTATACTGGATCACTGAAATAAAACTTTAAATATGACCATATCGATACACTTCTGTATACGCTACAAATGAAACAAACACGATATGCCTTGTATTTAGTCCTCAGATATACAAATCCACATATTGACTAACCTCCATCAGATTCAATATAAGATGATGTGCTTCTAATTTTTACGTTTTGTCAATGAGTTAAGTGTCAATCAAATTCATTATACTCATTCTCATTCACTGGCTTTTATTTTCATTTATTTCACTGACAGATGAATGCACTACTGTAAAATACTTTATTTTCGCTTGGAATTAATTTTCGCTGAAAGGGAAATAAAAATCTAGCGAATATACCTTTTTTCCTATATTTTACATTCAACTCAGTGAAAATTAATTCCATACAAAACAACCAAAAGTCTTTTTCATTAATTCCAGCTAAAATAAAGTATTTTACAGTAAATTTAAACCCATTGAATATGAAAAATTAATAATATAATGTATTGTTTCCTTCAGAAAACCTAGTCAACATCTCTGTAACATCAAATCTGCTGAAATTAAACCCAGTGAATATTTCCTCTTCTACAATACCCAAATAAACTTGCAATGCAAGGAGGATGTCCCTGCATATAAGGCTACTTTACTAGTGGGGCACATGCACATGGAACTACAGTTTTGCAAGATGGCTATCAAATTTGCTATCTAATAAGCAAACTAGCTATTTGATTTGCCAAAACCTTTGCATTTATGCTTGGAACGAATGGTTTGGATGTGCGCACAATTTGGACTGATAAAATGGGACGAGTTTGTTCATGTTTCGCACTGTACAGAATCTAGACTGGGGCATACCATTTATAGCACAGGGTTGGAAGATGTATATCTGAATATGAGAATTACTTTTGTGACGACTTATTGCCAGAGTAATTAGGAGCTGTTGACTTGAACAGAATTTCTGCACATTTTTTTTACTTCTGTTTGATAAATTCGACGAGCCACGCCTCTCTATTTGCAATGCTTGGGTGTAAGTTAGCTGTTTCACAATTTAGATAACAAATTTAACAGCCATCTTGCAAAACTGTAGTTCCATGTGCACGTGTCACACCAGTAAATTGCAGCTAATTTTTAGTTTAATACATGAAACACAATGTTGAATTTGTATGCAAAATAGATAATTAATATGCATATATTCAAACTGAAATCAGACTTAATCTACACAAGAGGTATACCTGCAATGATCTAGTCTTAACATGGACAGACAGACAGACAGACAGACAGACAGACAGACAGACAGACAGACAGACAGACAGACAGACAGACAGACAGACAGACAGACAGTTTAGTGAGAGTAGCTGTAACACCTACTTGAGAATGTGGATTCTGCACATGAAATGCTTTTGTTGTTTGTTCCACCAAATCCGTCAATAACTTTTGCTGAATTGACGAGTCATTAATTGGTTGTTCAATATCTAAATTTATGCCATCCATGTGCCAATCGGCTGCTTTTCGTAATTTATCCAGGAGCCAGTTCTCACGAGCCTTGATATCAGTGAGGTTAGCAACAGGAAAATCACCTGAAACCAAAACACTTCACAAGTGAGAATGCTTCAAACAAAGCTTGAAACATTCAAAGTTATTATGATAATTTCAACAATTTACAAAATGTTATTTTTTTTTCCCACATTTTTTGTTTGAATATTTTCCTATTCTTATCTTATCTTATCACTTTGAAAAGGGATAGGTGGACAGAAGTCTTCTGTAGAGTCTATGGTAATAATGAAAAAATAAAACACATAGATTGAACAAACATCACGAAAGAACCAATCGGGAGGGGGAGGGGACAACTATTTTTTACCATAACTTAATCTCCTAAGCAACACGAAAAGAATACAATACCTAAGCTTTCTGAAAATATATATATATTGCCATGGTTACATGCTTAGTAACTGGTGAAGAATGCCCTAATTGCAATTAAACTACCGGGTGTATTGTTTTCCCCTGTAACCTTAATTTGCAATCTTCTGATTCCTGCCAACACAGATAGAATTACCAATGAATGAAGCAAAACAGAGACATATTGCCAAATTTGTTGACCATTCATAGTAGAGCATTTTTTTTCAATATTTATTTTTCCACCAATTTAATCCACAGATCCTCTAAACATGAATATACCAGAGTAACTGCAGTGTCATGTTGACTATGGGTTCTACTCAATGTTTACATTGGAATTGCTTGTTTACACAAAATTGGCAATTTAACATTTTGTCGCCATGACAGTCATTATGTTTTTTCTACACGCAGTTCTGAACATCTATAACCGTTAAAACTTTAATGTAATTTATTTTACCAAATCTGGATAATATGTACCCACATTTGTCAAAGGACTAAGTAATCTTGAGATTGTATGTACAGTGAATGGCAGAAACCTGTGGACATTATACATATAACATTTTATAAATTAAAAGTGGCTGTTAGAATTAGACCAATCGAGTAATGAAGTTGTGACATCATATAAGTATAAATTAATACAACAATTTAGTCATCCAATCAGAAAATGCAGGAATTTGAAATAAGTGGGCGGGGCATAGTGATTGAAGGCATATGCATGTAGTATTGGTTTAGAGCTCTTGGGCCAATCACAATCACATCTTAAAATTGGAATGAAAGGTTAGGGTCGGTTATTGTGTATTTACAATACGTTAATAAAGTAATGTACAGGTTTCTGTCGCACACTGTATATGTTTCAACCAAATGTGTCAACGCAGACTACCTATTTGTCTTCAGTTAAGCGCAACCTTTAATTAGGCACTGGTGCCACTAAAACGATGTATTTTACACCTCAATTAAGCGCCAGACAGAGTTGAAATTTTGGCACGTAATGATCGTGAATTAGTAGTGATAGACACGTTCGCGGAAGTCCCTCACTGATTAATAATCGTAACTGTAAAACGCAGCATGACCGGATTTCGCTACAGTTATCGTTCGCTAATAAGCAATGCTTTTGAGTTTGTTTTATTTTTCTGTTGATCGTATGGCAAGGTGTGAATGTTTTCTGAAGAATGATACTTTTTGTATAACTTTCTAGACTGTCTGGAAACACGTCATAAATACTTAAAATAAAGGCTACAGTGACTAAGTGTCAAATTTAACCATAAATAAGCGCCACTGTGAAATGAAAGTGTAACAAATTGGCGCCTAATTGAAGACAAATACGGTAATAAAAGATACACCATTTTTATCAAAAAACAAGAAAAATAATATAAAGGATGTTATTGTTTTTATGATAAGTACACTCACCTTTTAAAAGTACCTTTACTTGTTTAGAATGTGCATAGCACATTAGCTCTGCATCATAATCATTGAACATTACAATAGACGTCACTTTCGACCAGTCATACTTCTTCCAGTTCTTCCCACCAACAGAAAATACAAATACCTGTAATGGATACATGTATTGGTAACATTAAAGAGGGACAAGGCTAACAAACTTTTAACCAAGAAATTTTAGTAAACTATTCCTTGCTCTTTGAAAGTCCAACGAAAAATGTTTTTTTTTTTTGTGCGTTTTATTATTAATCATGAACTTCAATGCTAGTTAAAAGCTTAACAATACAGAGAAATCACAAATGCACTGTTTCCATAGAAAATAGGTTTCTCTATTCTTACTAGCTGCAAAGAATACTGGATCAAAGCTCAGACAAGTTTTACCTCAATGTATAACAGAAATGTCTTGAGATACATAAGATTTCCAGTTTTTGTTTTCAGGAAGGATTATTCAGTTAAACTTGCAAATAGTTTGTTTTGATCGATCGTTATTGAAGCAGCGTAATATATACGTTTTGTTTGATTTTGGCTTATTTAATATAAATGATGTCACTATTCAAAACTGCATTTTTTATGTCTTTGGCGTACTTCAGAATGATAGATTTTCAATGTTAGCCGGTTCTTCAAAGAATCTGTTTTTTCTGATTGAAAGTACAATATAGGCTGTTTATACCCTTTATGAGAAAAATGTGAAAATTTGTCGTAATTTTTATGTTGACTGACTGATAACGTTTCGTACGTATGTACATGATTTAAAAAAAAAAAAAAAAAGAGTTGTAAGGCCAGGAAAAAAAAATTCTCTGTTTCTCGTTTCATGGAAATTTTAAAATGAGGCGAGGCAATTTTTTTTTTTTTTTTGGAATACTGAGCTAAAATGGGGGGGGGGATTTGAGACAAGTGCGAGTACAAGCGCATTTAGGAGTGCTTTAAAAATAAAAAAAACACAGGCGCATAGTTCAAAATGATGCGCACGGAAACGAGAAACAGATATTTATATTTTTTTCTCAGCCTAAGCAGAAATTTTCTTATAATTAGGCATTTCTTCTTTTTTATTCTTTTAACTTCAGTTCTATTTTGTCAGATTTATTTTCTTAATTCTATTTTTTTTAATTTTCTGACTGTGAACATCCAAAAATCTGAATATCTTTCATAGAAGATCTCAAATAACCAGATTAGTCTACCAATCAGAGAAGGTCTTGTATACAGTCATTATCCTATTTGTTCGCAAATGTTGAAGTCTAACCATAGCTGTATACAAAACTTTCTCTTGGTTATTGAAGTTTGCAAGATTTGAACATAATCTTCTATGGAGATTGGTCTGATATTTTGGTATAATCAGACAAAAACAAATCATGTAGTTCCATGGTAACATGTTTTTTTTTGTGTGTTTTACAGTACATTTGTGCCATTTTTTTTAAAACAATTGGCCAAATATTTTAAAACCATGAAATACAAAATACCCATAACAAAAAATATCCTTTTTTATTTTTATGTTTCTTTTGTTTACTTCAGACGCAAAAGTGCTATCATCATACAAAAGAATCTGATCACTGAACGCAAACTTTCACATAATTTAAAATATTTGTTGTTGTCATTTTGGGCTATTATCTGATTAAATTCTTTCTACATACAGGGAAAAGATGTATGGTAATAAGGTTATCATAAGTATGCTCTCAGGCAGTACAGAAATGCATCTACCTCTGCTATTGCCATACTCGTGTAATAACCTCATAATATCTCTGCCATAGGAACCAATGGTAAAATGCTATACCGGTAATACTAGTACATCTACTAACAAAATGGCTGCCATCCATCAAAATACAGCCATCATTTTCTCATAAATTTGGCTGGTGACACCCCCCCCCCCGAAAAAAACAAAAAAAAACATTGTTTAAGTCAATATCCTTATATTTTGGACATTACCTTACTTTTGTTTGTGTACGTTCGAAATAAATAAATAAATATCATATATTACTACCCGGGATAATCAGACAAACTACAGCTAAACCAGGAAATGAGAGTTGAAAGTGTCTCACCTCTTTTGCTGGTTTTCTGGTCACAGGATCACAGAGGGATTGATCCGAACATGGACATGTACTCGGAGGGTTCGTGGCCATTATACTTAAAAATGGCAATGAAACAATTACTGCAACGAAGACCGTGGAACAAGTCATGGCGATACTCGAACCTTCACTCGAGCAGACAAGACCAGACAAAAACACCTAAGTCGCAACACACCCCCTAGCATGTGTCACGTGTTTGAGGAAAGAAATAACACGAAAACGAAATCATTTGTCCTTGCTGTCTTTATTTCATAATTTTATTCAAAGATGAAACTGTACATTACAAAGTGTATAAACACTGTGGTTAAAAGTTAAACTGTGCGTACTGGGTAGATTTTGAACCCCCTATTTTCGACCGCAGGAAAGAAAGTGATATTCCGGGCGATGTCATGGCGCCATCAACGACAACCACAGTCACTTGGGGGTGAAAATCAATAAATACTAATTTTTAAAAAAAATCCTCCGCTATACGTATATAAATAAACAAGTTGTGAAACATGGCACCTAGTAAATCGACACCCTGTCGGTTTCAAATTTCGATTTCTTACCTTAAATAGCGAAACAAAAATTTTAGAGGGGATCAGGTGTTACGTTAATAACCATTGTTCATAATCGCTAACTTGGTTTTATTTAAAACTGCACAAATCCCGCGTTTTCTGATGATATCCGACGATTTCATGAACAAAATGGCCAGCCAGAATCAAGGGGGATTCGCACAGAGTTCTGGGTAAATCAAGGAAATACTCGCTGTGACGGCACGCCTGATTGGCTGAAAATGAGTATGGGCACTTATATACGTATAGCGGATGATTTTTTTTTTTCAAAAAATTAGTATTTATTGATTTTCAGCCCCCAAGTGTCTGTGACGACAACAGACAAATAACAACTTTTGTTTTTTGATAATATTGGTTACTAGTATATTAAGAAGATAAAATTTCGTGTTCGAATTTCAGGATATATTTAACAGTGCCGCGGTATTTAGAATACCAAAAATGTTGACAACCCATATTGCATGGCTTTGGTTTGCTTTTGGGAGCTTGGATTGTCGTTGAAATCCAAATCGTCTTCATTCAATGGACCAACGCTTCGCAACTGTTGCTATCAACATATCGGCATTTGTGGGTCGTCGTACCACATGCCATGCGTGCTGTTGTTTTGATTCTTCAAAGATAAAAACAAAAGAATCAACTAATCACGTGACGTGTTCAATCATCTGTCCACAAATGTGATGCATTCATTGCAAAGTAGTAATTTATGACTCCATTTAGAAAATAGTGGTACTACTTTCGTGTTCAACTTACAAAGTTGAAGAACCCAACTGTCTTAAAAGTTGTTAAAGGGCGACAGTCGTCGTGCCGCGTTCTGTTCGATATGGGACTCATATCGACGTATACAACGCGTGTAAAATACATTTAAATGAAAATCGAACACGCGCTGCGCGCTGACCACCGCGCTTTAATACACGAACGGAAACACTTGATAAATATGTGTGTATAATACTAGTAGCAAATTTATAAAAGGATTTGTTTTATAATTTAGAGAATGATCCAGACCATGAAGTAAGTTAATACTACATGGGTTATCGCCCCCAAAATGTTCCCTTACGCTGTATGTGATACAACATGTACTGTACCTAACATCACACGTCGACGGCATGCATGCAAGAGGATAATGTGCCAGAGTGGACGGGTTGTATGTAGTGTACAATATCCTAGTACCGTCCATAAAACAGCGCCATCTAGCGACGAAACGCTCATGTGACGTTATAAGAAAATTTGAAATATATTTAACACATAATTTAGCAACAATGTTCTTTTATAAACCCGCGAAATGGTTAAAGTATGATGACTTGTGTTTATCATTCCGTAACCTTGGCGTTGTGGCTTTATACGTCAACATATTCATCGCGTCACTGCAATATTGCTCGTCTTCAATGTTTAAGTTTGTTATTGGATCGTTTGATCGTTGTACACACTGTCTGTGGAACCCAGAAAAAATACAGTAAATAAAAACAAAAATTGAGGTTTCCCAGATTATTGTATGATTAATCAATAAAGCCAGTAGCACCCAGGTTTTATGAACGATTGGGTGATTCGTGGAAAAATAATGATGTTATACTAACGTCGACAGTGATGGTGATGCACGTCGAGAGTCAAGTTACTTAAGTTACAAGTATATTAAGTACTTTTTTACTCGACTAGTCTATTGTCAAATGATGGACATGGACACGCGAGACTTTCACTTACCCAAAGATAAGCAGTGGTAAATAGTAACAACGCTGCCGTCAATGGCGGACTCTAGAGTGCCACATGATATAATCATAGTCCTTCTATCAGATAAAGGGACTATGTGATATAATTGATATTGATAAATTCAATAGACATTGCTCCTCACACTTGATTGTACGGCATTCCATACAATATAAATATGTGTTTAGAATCGAACTAAGGTGATATATACAAGGTGTATATAAGCTACGTTCACGCTACTGGATCTCAGGCTCGGTACGTGTTGATTTTTTAATCCTTCATGTTTGGAGATGGATTACAACAGTTAGTTGGGACCCCAACGGCTCGTAGTGAAATCATTTCCTTATTAGTCGATCTGTTATCTGACCAACACATTATAATAATTACTTTATTGAAAAAATACTGTTATGGTATTATTATGAGCCATCGTGCACATGAACGGCAAAGATGGGTTTGAATTTTTGTTTATTTTTTTTTCCCCGATTCGACACTGTCTCTTAACACTTGCTGAGATCTTTAACGTGAACGCCACTATAATCAGTAGTTTAAAGCGAAACAAAATTAAAGACAACATAACTGAGCTGAAATATTGAAATCAAACTACCGTAAACATAATTTGTGTTTGCAGTAATCTAGTCCCCTCCAAGAGAAAGAATTACGCATAAAAAGTCCATGTTTGTGCAAATGCGTAAAACTTTCTCAATGATTAATCAAATGGCTTGTAACAAATGGCGAAGCCCTTAAATCAAACACGAAGTGCGAGAAAGGAGATCACTTCTCGGTCTCGGTGATGTCATAGCTGGAAATTATCAAGATTATTAAAGCAGTATTAGAAATTTTTTTGATGTGCAGACGAAAACGTTCAAACGCGTTCCAGTTCAGAAAAGTATTAACATTTGTCAACGATATGTTTGATTACGTTCTTAACTTAGCTCAATTTTTTGTAAGTTTTGTTTTCAAAGTTAAACTGTTTATTACTCCACCTGGTAATTGTTAGTCGTGATGCCATTTGGGGTCAGAAGAGAGTCCTTCCTTGTATGATTAATCGTTTCATCGGGACTTGCTTGAATAATTACGTTGCCTACCAATGTGTAAAAGTTAAATTAACACTATTCACCTAGTCACGTACGACAAGGGCCCAGCCAGTGGTGTGGAACAAAGCTAGTAGTATCAATCAGGTTGGCGAGACCGTAATTGCGTGGCTAACATCTTTATACTATTCTCTCCTCGCCTGGGGTTTTCATTAAAGACAAGATAATGATCGAATAGAGCCAAACGTGTTGGCGCATAATGTTTATACATTATTATCGATTACCTCCGTACCATAATGTCAAGCGAACATTACTGGATTTGTTTGTTTTTCGCCGTACATGACTGCGTCAGCAGCGTGCGTTGACACGTAATGATGAGTAGTCATCGAATGCAAGTTGCTCCGTACAATGACCCTCGAGATGGTAATGATGAGAAAGAAAATCGCATCCGCCATTTTGTTTACTGTATAGTATATTTGAATTTTCAGTGGAAATGTTTTAAAGGGCGATAGTCGTCACGCAACGCCTGCGCGAGATATATGGGTCTCATGTAAACAAAGATGGCGACTTTGACTGTTGCGCAAATCAGCGAGTACAAACTGAAACGTTACCAAGCTTTAATTCCTCAGCTCCTGAGAGCGAGGTTATTTTTAGATATGTTGGCGATCGCAGCTGTGTCTGCGGAAGTACCATGGGAGATTGCATGATGGGAGTGAAAAGTCTTTTGATCAGTAAGATAATTTTAGAAAAGTGAAAACTAGAGTGACTGTGAATTAAAGGTTGGTTTTAAATATAAAATATCATGGAATCTGGATGAAATAATGAAAGGAAATTGTACGGGTATGAAAGGGCAGTAAATGTGGCAAGAATGCAAGGTCAGAATTCGGGGGTCAAAATACGTCACAATACATCCATCATCATCCATCGGCTGTCAACAACTATGGATGCGGCAAAAGTCTTGATTTGCAGTTGTGTGAATGACCGGGGAAATAATTCATGCCAATTATGTGCTTCAGTAACAGTATTTGCTGCTTTTTTGTGCAATGGAAATTAATTCAAGAAATGCTGCCAAAGGACATTTCCTTCTAGTAAACAAAACAACCTTGGGACGTTTATCTTGAGAAATTGAGAAGACGAAAATCCCTTGGGACAGTCGTTGTTGTGAAACAATGGACATACTTCGCCAGGGTATCAAGGGTAGTTTTGATTATTAGAAGAGGGAAACTGCTGCTTTATGGAAGAGCAAAGTTCAATGTCATTGGCCACAGTAATTCTAAATCGATGTTGGTTTTAATTGGTGTTACCTGGTGTAGAAGTAATAACATTACGATGTTTTCAAGTTTAATAGTAAATTACTAATATTAAGAAATTAATAGTAAATGGTAGACTCCCCTTTGAATAACATCAACCAGTCTAACCTGGTTGACAACAATGACATTCTAACAGCAAGGCAATTAGGACAAATTAATAAAAATATACAAATATCGTTTATATCAACTTGGAAAAGTGAATTACAAAACGACAATCAATCAAAACAAAATGGAATATAAATAAATTAAGAGAATACAGAGAATTAAAAAACAATTTTGCTTTTGAAACCTACCTTGTTACCCTGCAAAATATTGAGATGCGCGAAAATTTAAATAATTCCGCCTCAGTGGCCATAACTTTAAAACTGAGACTGGCAGTGACAACGGAATACCCTTGCAATAGATT